CCGGTCGCCCGAGACATCCTCGGAAAACGACGCCCGAATCAAAGCGCCGAGCGGTGAGCCCGAAGCCCCAATGACTGGCCATACGGTGTGGTCACCGCACCGTTTGAGGGCCCCTGACCTAAGAGGGGCCGTGAGCTCTGGGAGAATGCTTTGGACCCTGACCTTGCTATGCTCACGCCCCTAGCCCTCGCCCCCCTCTCCAATGAGTGGAGGAGATTGGGGGGGGACTGGCTCAGAGGGGGAGACATTGAGCTGGAATCGGCGATACATCGCCGATAGACCGGCGATACGCCCCCGATAGCGACTCCGCACCCTCCTGGGCAGTCTGGGCGTTCGGACCCCTATCGGCGATCAACGGGCGATTTGGGATCGTTGCGCCCCCCCCGAGCCTATCCCACCCTAACATTGCCCCTGACCTTGGAGCCATGCCAGCCAGCATGCCACTTCCGTCCAGGTGATCTTTATCGTTAGGCGAGCGCGTCCCGTGGTCCTGCTCCCAGACGTGGCCGAGCAGGATTGCAGCCCATCGGGCCATCCCAGAAGCGCAGCCGCCGCGATATCAGTGCTGGGAGCACGTCTGCCGCTTCGCCCGCAGATCTAGAGAAATCCGCCGGCCCCCTCGTGGGGCCACCAGGCTGTAGGCGCGAGGTTCGCAGTTTCCTGTACCAGTTGTACCTTGTAGTTTCCAGTGTTACAGTTCTGCTTCTTGCTGGTTATTGTAACTAGTTGACTTATTGCTGGTTACTGTAACTAGTTGATTGACCGCGCGAGGGGGGGGAGGCCCAAACCGGCTTTTTAGCACCCCCTGGGCGCGTTGTCTGAATTGCTGGGGGGGCTCGAAATCGACACCCCTCACGCAGATCCGCGGGGTCAGGGTCCAAAAACACATGGGATTTGCCACATTTCTGAAATTCGGTGCCACCCCTCACGCAGATCCGCGGGGTCAGGGTCCAAAAACACAGGGATTTGCCACATTTCTGAAATTCGGTGCCACCCCTCACGCAGATCCGCGGGTCAGGTCCAAAAACACAAAGATTTGCACATTTCTGAAATTCGGTGCCACCCTCACGCAGATCCGCGGGGTCAGGGTCCAAAAACACATGGGATTTGCCACATTTCTGAAATTCGGTGCCACCCCTCACGCAGATCCGCGGGGTCAGGGTCCAAAAACACAAGGGATTTGCCACATTTCTGAAATTCGGTGCCACCCCTCACGCAGATCCGCGGGGTCAGGGTCCAAAAACACAGGGGATTTGCCACATTTCTGAAATTCGGTGCCACCCCTCACGCAGATCCGCGGGGTCAGGGTCCAAAAACACAAGGGATTTGCCACATTTCTGAAATTCGGTGCCACCCCTCACGCAGATCCGCGGGGTCAGGGTCCAAAAACACAAGGGATTTGCCACATTTCTGAAATTCGGCGCCACCCCTTACGCAGATCCGCGGGGTCAGGGTCCAAAAACACAGGGGATTTGCCACATTTCTGAAATTCGGTGCCACCCTTCACGCACATCCATCGCAAGGCGTGGTAACCCAAACTGCGAGAACTCCCTCGGCCCTTTAATCGCAAGGTGTGGTAACCAAGCCCGTAAACCATACACGTCTTACCAATCGCCAGGTGTGGTAACCCCTCTTGTGATCAGTTGGTTTTGCTGATTGCGAATCGGCTTCGCATGAAGTTTCGATACTGCTTCACGACAGCGCCAAGGCCTCATGACTTAGCTCTTCCATGGCCCATTCTCCGAGAGAGGGGGCCGGCGGCAGGGGGCGAAGCCCTTACGGATAACAAACCGCATGAACATAAACGTTCAGAGCTGGTCTTGAACGCGGCGACGAGAATTTCGCAACAAACACGCGCGGCAATGACGTTTCGTTAGCTCGGGCAGCCCGATGGGTCACGCTGCTCTGTACCCTTGTTCCCTCTACGGGTTTGTGCCTTACGCCGGCGGATGACTGCATATGCTCATCAGGCCCTGGTGCCGACACAGACACAACAGAACATTGTGCAAGCTGGTCTTGAACGCAGCGACGTCGTCCCCGGGCGAGGGACGAGGGCGGGGGGGCAAGAGAACGCATTTGATAAAAGGAGGTGCCATGAAATCTGGGGAGACATCATGGCCCAGTCCAGGCCATGATATCCACAACCCCCTGGTCCATCACCCCCCTCTTGGCCGCTCACGATGCAGGCTGGTCTTGAACGCGGCCACGTCGTCCCGGGCTAGGGTCGGGGGAGGAGGCATGGAGGAAGGTGGAGCGAGGAGGAGGAGAAAGAGAAGGAAGAGGAGGAGGACGACGATGACGATGACGATGACAATGACGATGACAACGAGGACGACGACGACAATGATGACGATGACGATGATGATGACGATGACGGTGACGGTGACGATGACGATGGTGATGACAATGATTGATGATGGTGATGACGATGGTGGTGATGGTGACGATGCCAATGATGATGTTGTTGATGATGCTGCTGATAATGATGAAGATGCTGATGGTGGTGATGACGATGACAATGATGACGATGACGACGATGATGGTGATAATGGTGATGGATGCTGATGGTGCTTGTGGAGTTGGTGGTGATGATGATGATGCTGGTGATGATACTGATGATGATGTTGCTGATTAGGGTGACGATGATGATGATGATGATGATGATGACGCTGACGACGATGACGACGACGAAGATGTTGGTGTTAATGATGATGATGATGATGATGATGATGATGATGATGATGATGATGATGATGATGATGATGATGACGATGGCGATGATGATGATGATGATGATGATGATGATGATGATGATGATGATGATGATGATGATGATGATGCTGATGATAGTGTTGATGATGGATGCTGTTGATGGTGATTACGAGTACGATGATGGTGATGCTGATGGTGTTGATGCTGATGATGGTATGGCCAATGATGGGGATGACGGCGGTGATGGTGATGCTGGTGACGATGGCGATGATAGTAAGAGTGATCATGATGGTAATGATGCTGGTGCTGCTGATGATGATGACGGTGCTGATGCTGAACATGCTGATGATGATTATGAGGATGAGGATGAGGATGAGGATGATGATGATGATGATGATGATGATGATGATGATGATGATGATGATGATGATGATGATGATGGTGATGGTGATGGTGATGGTGATGGTGATGACGATGGTGGTAGTAGTGGTAGTGACGATGACGATGGTGGTGGTGATCTGATGACGATGAGGAGGACGAGAAGGGAGATCAAGATGAGCAAGAGCAGGGAAAAGGAAGAAGAGGAAAGCCGTCACATATAACACCGTTCGTCTTCACTTCTTGAGGAGCTCTCGTGGAACTCGTTTGGGCCAGGCTGGAGCTGTCTTGGCCTCCTATGCGGCAGTCTGGAGGGTCCCTTGGTCGCCGCCGTTGACGTCGTCGCCGCCGCCGCCGTCGTCGTCGTCGTCACCGCCGCAGCAGCCATCCTCCTCCCCGTCTTCCTCGTCCTACTCCTCCTCTTCCTCCTCCTCGTCCTACGCCTCATGCTCATCAGCATTCAACCTATGTTCGTCCTCGTTCTCCTCATCCTCCTCCTCCACCCTGTCCTCCTCCTCCTCCTAATCCTCATCCCCTTCCTCCTCAGCCTCAACCGCCTACTCCTCCTCCTCCTCCTCCTCCTCCTCCTCCTCCTCCTCCTCCTCCTCCTCCTCCTCCTCCTCCGCCTCCTACTCTTCACCCTGCACCTCTTCTCCTTTACGCCTCCTTCGCACTCCTTCCCACCTCTTCCTGATCATTGCGGCCGACACGCTGGCGCGCGCTGCGATGGGCTCGTCGCCTGGATTGCCAGAGCTCGACGTCGCGGACGGCGCGACCGCCGTCGCCGACACTTTCCACCCCTCGCACATTTCGTGGACCAGTAGGGGGCTCCACCTACGGCCCCAGCAAGGGCGTTCATGTGGCGCCGCCGCCCCCCAATTCGACGCACCCCTCACGCGTTCGTCGCCCATGAGGCAGCTCCAGCTACGGCCCTGGTGAGGGTTCTCAT